CATAGATCGGTTGAAAACCTGAGTGATGGAGTTCTCTTTCCCTGCTCATTCCAACCACCCCCCACCCCTAATGAATAACATTCACCTTTTCTACCAATCTGTCAATATTCATCACTGGGCAGCAATATGACCGGTCGCCTTTACTTTCCCTAAAGTGAGTCAGTATTTATCAGATCAGGGAGTGAACTCAAAGACAACTTATAGATCTGAACTCGAGACTTTCGAGTTAACAGTCGAGCGCTCCACTCTTGGCCACACTTCCCTTCATACAAGTGCCAGTTTGGATTTGGGTCACCTTCGGTTGACCACGTGAGCTGTACTACAGTAGGTCAAAATGTGTAACTATCTCAATAACACGGTACTGATCAGAGGCGTATCCAAGTTTTCGTTGTAGGGGGAGCGAAAAGAGCAAAAAAAGGCGCCGAATTTTTAACACGTTCTATATACGTGTATTATATATATATATATATATATATATATATATATATATATATATATATATATATATATAATTACTAGCTATATGTCATTACTTCGCTATGATGTAAAATAACTTGAAAGTAGCACTCGGAAGAAATAAGAAAAAACACACAATGTAGGCCGACAAAACAAAAAATTGTATCAATCTAAACAAATATATATATACATATATATATATATATATATATATATATATATATATATATATATATATATATATATATATATATATATATATATATATATATACACTACAACCATAAACAATTAACGTAACACAATCTGTTTTGTAATTCTTGTAAAAAACATTCTTACTTAATAATTCCTGGGAAATTATTTAAGACAAGTGAAATAGGGGAAATAATCACTCTCTTAATATAAATATGTATATATCTACACATTTAATTATAAATGTCAAAACAAATAAATAATTACTTTAGAATATAATGAAATTGTTTAACACTATTTGTGTTTTCAAAATGTTTTTGTCTATAATCAGAATTTAATATATCGTCATCATAAATGCTAAAGTACTACAGCATAATAAAAGTTTTTAAAATCTGAGTTGGTATAAAACTAAAACCACGCTTTTAGATGAATAGAAAACATTCGGAATGATAGCCAACACTTTGCTAACAATCTGTCTTTTAGTTCAAATCATATATTTTTAATTATCTACTGCTTCTTTGTGTTCTTTAAAGATCATTTTTTAACATAGTGATAGGTATGGGTTAGATCACTGTATTGATCACACACCTTTTTACTGGTAATTGCAAAAACAATATTCAGAGAGTTTTACGTTTAAAAAGCTAATTTTCTGGCGGCATGGTACTTTGGTACATCATTACGCGTTTTTCTACATGTACTTAACAGATCAGTTCGGGGTGGGTTGGGGGGGGGGTGGTGGGTTCAACTTCATTGACCACTGTCCGGTCACCTTAGGTCAATTATCCAACCCAGTGTATATCTAGGTGTGACATTAATGTCGCTCTACAAAATTGTGGTGGTGAGGTGTGTGTGTGGGGGGGGGGGGGGGGGGTGGGAAGAGATAACCAACTCAGAGTGAACATAGCGTCAGTTTTTAGATGACTGTTCTAAACATACATATATATTACACAAATATATATTACACAAATATATATTAAAGAAATAGATTTAAATAAGTAGCAGTGGTATTATGACAATATTTTTTTACAGAGGGGTCGATGGGGGAGGGGGTTGTAACTGTTTCATATAATTTGTAATCGTAATCTCTATCGCCCAAACTGTTAGAATACTACTAATTCATCGTGATGACGTTGTTGTCCTTGTCAAAATTTCCCCACCACTACGCAGTTTGCTCATAAGTAAATTTAAATAGAGGTGCACATCAGTTGTATTTGTTTCTGTATTGTAATTTTTTTAATTAATCACGCGATTGAAACTGTATATATAAAGTAATTATGTGTGAAGTTTTATGTATAACATTTTCTAATTCAATTATTGGTAAGCAAATACATTATACAGTTGCCTTAAACTTAACACCCCTCTTGCCAAGTGGTAATACCCGTAGAGGTTTTTTAAACCTTACAATGCATCGTAATGGTTATTTTTAGAATGGAAAACTAATGCAGCTGTTAATACGTGTTGTAAACGTAGACACTACTAGACTAGTACAATAATGCTTAATTGCTGCATGAAAAGAAATTTTGTGATTTACATAGATGTGCCGACCAAAAATATTTTTGTAACAAATATCATTGTTTAAAACTTTGAGTTTAAAAAGTTTCCAAAAAGGCGCCACTTTGCTGAAAATGGCCAGAGGGGGAGCGGCCGCTCCCCCTGCTCCCCCCCTGCGTACGCTACTGGTACTGATGTTTGAATTGTGACCGGTCATACCCATTGGCGTTAATCAAGGTAGTGTCTTCTACATTATCAGTCTTTCGTAGTTCTTGCTTGGTCAGATATGGGTCCCTTCATCTGAAGCAGCTATATAACCGCCTACAAGGACTCTGTATCAGTTTCTTCAAGGCATCTCTTCGGGGCAGAGCCCCCCCCCCCCCCCTGGAGAAAAGTCTGGAAAAAACGCTGTTCTGTATTTTGACTATACTCAAACATGGATAAAACAAAAAAACGACAGTTGATATGGAGGTTTTAATCTACACTTAAAGACATTTTACATGAACGCCAATCTTCAGTGTTGTATTATGCCAAAAAAAATAAAAACATACATGGTTATACAAAACATATGGGGGCTTACAAAATTTTACCATACAGCTTTCAACATAACCTGCTCATTCAGTCTAAAACTCATACGGTATCATCAAAATTAACACTTTCACATAAAAATACAACCTTACAGTGTTGTCTGTTATTAGATAATCTTTCAATCACATGCGTATTTTATCAACATATTTACAGGACTTCACATATCAGGCACCCATACAAAACACATACGACCGATAGCACACATCACACAAAGCTAGCCATTACACATATACGACAGATACGCCATCATCAGCTACACCAAACTAGCCTTTAACCACATATTTACACGACACGCATAAATTAAAAATCTAAATCTGTATCACAACAAATCAAGATTCCCCACAACCCCATCCTACGTATATCGACTAAAACAGCTGTGAGTTAGAGATTATTTACTTTTCGCAGTCCTAGACTTAAGTCACATCCATCGCAATACTTTTTTAAAGAAACTATTTTAACTTGTCAATCTGAACACCTTTAGTAAAAAGAATTTCTGAAATATATTTAACTTTACAACTTAACAATAATTTTGCTGCAAATACTTTTTGGTATAGATAATTATATACAAATTACATTCGATAGCAGTAAAAAGAAATGTTATTTTTTTAAAGGTTCCAGTTTAAATTGTCTAAAGCCGTATAAATTACTAAATGTGCCGTTACTGCTAGAAAAACTAAAACCTACCTCAAATAAAATCTAATGGAAGGGAATCTGTAAATAGGTGGTAACAAAAAGAGTATGTACATGCTATAAACAGAGGTAAAGCTATCCCAAAGGATTAAAGCTGTATCCTGGAGGAGGTGTGTTGGCGACAGAGAGAGGGGGTGGGGGGGGGGGGTGAAGAAAGATTAAACAACGAGTATTTGTTCAGACTGTCGTTAACGGATACTATAGATGGTACTGCAATGTCGAATCTCAAAAGCCAATTACAGTTTCGCATTTTTATTTGATTTTTTTAAACTTTTTTTTTTCAATAATTTTAAATAAGAGCGTCTCGTTAATACAACTGACCAATGTTATTTCACCAATACATTTTTACTTGTGTGAAAAGAATGTGAAATGTGAATTCTTCTTACATGTCTACTGCCATCACTGTATGCTTGCATGTACATATACTTATGTACATAGCGACCTTATAAACCCTAATGTACACATTCCCTTTTATAACAATAAACATCTGTAGATTAAACGCTTTCATAAACGCATATGCAAATGTACACACTACACACACTACACATACAAACATACGCACGCTCTGTATAAATAGTGAGATCAATTCAACAAAGCCATTGTGTACACAATTTAGGTCATTATGGCTGTCGTACTTTGTACACAAACATTACAAGCCATGCATTCTTTACCAAGCCAAAAGTATTGGCCAGGAATTGCGGAAGTTTTAACATTTTCTCCACAAAGTGTGTACAAAGAAAATGGCCAAAATTGTGTACACAATCAACCAAATCTGGGTTAATACTTTAAACGAAATGGCCAAAATGAGGCTATCCTATAACTGTAGTAAAAAATTTATGTGGTACAGCATCACGTCTGGGTAGCAACAAACAACAGCACTTGTGATATCTAAAAGTGAAAGGTGGCTGGCCTTACACAACCTGGCAACAACGGGACCAGTTTTTACAAACAGTTGATACATGTTTAGTTTTATGAGAAATAAAATATAATCAGATGTTAACAAATATTGATCAGTTTAAGAATGGTAAATTACTTTATAAAACAAACTAAAAATCTCCAGACTAAAATGTAGCGAATTTGTAACAACGGGTTGGAATCAAGTTCATGGTGAGATCATTGGACAATGTACAGGAAGGACAAACAGCACAAATAAAAAGAAGAAACCGGAAGTTAAAGATCTATCATCTTATTTACAGAATAAAACGCCAATTCACAGCAAAATTAGAAACGTGGGTAGCCCTCACTCAAGTGGTAAATGCTCCACAAAATGTTTTGTTTTTGTTTTTGTTTTTTTTTTAAAAAAAGTTTGTTTTAAAATGCCATTTTGGCAGGGGAAAAAAATTCACGCCAAAATGAATTAAATTAAAAAAAAATTCTTTTTGGCTTTTTTTTTACGCGACAGAACCGTTGAGTTCTTTGAAAGCGATTCCACAAATGTCATCAATTTGTTGAAATGTCAATACGCAGAAGTGACGTCAACGTGTAGAAATGACGTCACGTTGTAGTGTGACGTCAAACCACCGTCGACGTCATCTTTTAATGTCTAAAGTCTAACACAGCTAGGGATTCAAGAAAAGTTTATCGATCACCGTAGTTGATTGGTGGTCATAAAACGGCCGGATGCCGGAAATGGTCTTCCGGTTTGACCAAGACGTACGCCAGCGGCCTGTGGACGTCCTGGGATGACGTGATGTAAGGAGACGACATGTATGGCACCAAATACTGACCCAAGCTTGCCGCAGCCGCCGCCGCGTGGGCGTGCGCCGCCGGCGGAAGTGCCGATAGAGATGGATGGCCGTGTCCTGTGAAGTAGGGCGAGTACAGCGGGTTCGAGACTAAGCTCTCGGAGTGTCTGAGCGCTGAGAGTGAAGACAGGGAGGTCGCGGGATCGAGTTTCGAGTTGGCGACGGCGGCGGCGGCCGCTGCGGCGTCAAAGTGAGGGTAGAGTCCGTACGTGGAGGTGGGAGGGAAGAAGTTGTGACGGGCTTTGTCGAAGGAGGAGCTGGAGGCGGCGAGCAGTTCGGAGGGGTGGTGGGAGGCTGCGATGGAGGCGAAGGAATGAGCCATGGAGCCCAGAGCCGAGCCGTTCATCCCTGGCAGCATGGGATGGAGGGGGAAGGCGTACTTGTCTTTCTTCATGAGAGATTTTGGTTTCCGTCTGGGTCGGTATTTGTAGTCAGGGTGTTCTTTCATGTGCAGTGCACGGAGTCTTTTCGCCTCGTCTATAAAAGGCCGCTTCTCTTCCTCCGATAACAGTTTCCATTCGGCCCCAAGCCGCTTGCTGATTTCTGAGTTGTGCATCTTGGGGTTCTCCTGCGCCATTTTCCTCCGCTGTCCACGTGACCAGACCATGAAGGCGTTCATTGGTCGCTTGACGTGGTCCATGTTGTTTGAGGGGCTCTCGTTGGGCGGCAGCGGGCTCATGCTCCTTCCGGTGTCCGAGCCAGGGGAGGCTATTCTGTTGGGCGAGGGCGACATCCCGCGGAGGGACTGTGGGGTCAGGCTGTTCTCCCGGGACCGGATGTTGTCATCGACTATGATGGGATGTTGGTTCATTTTTTTTCTTTCTTCTTTCTGGTCAATTCTGTAAAAGAAAAAATAAAAATGATTATACTTCACTGCAACACAAGCAACGAAACAAAACAAAAATTTCAGGGCAAATATGGAACATTTTCCGTGTGACGGCATTAGAATCTTACTAAATGCAGCAATGTACGACTGTTAATAATATTGTATAGTCAGCCTTTAGTTTAGGGCAAGAAAGGATGATTGCGGTTTTGATTACTTGGTTGTCCGTAATGTAGTCCAGCTTGTTCCATGCCCCCCTCCCCCCTCCTCCCCCAAAAAACACGTATTATTAAGAGTTGATAAAAATATAAATTAACAAGGAACCCTATAATATATTTCCAGACTAAGTTTTATTCTTAATTATTGATTATCTGTCTATAGAAGGTCAATACGTCTGAAGCCCACCACACCGTACACTTGTACAAATATAATCCTGGGACGTCCTTATGTCCTGCGGTTATATTGTATACCGAAAATTAGTTTCAATTATCAATTATTTCAACGATTTTAGCTTTTGGCGTTATAAATAATATAGAATGTAAACATGGGAAACTTTAAATGAAATACGAGGTCTGTGTACTTTCAGTTTGTGTTTCGCTACATGTTTTGTTATTCATGTTAAAAAATCAATAAAGACGGAATTTTAATGCACTGTGAATAGTTGTATGATTTTAACAAAATGGTTAAGGGAAAACTCATAAATATAATTAGGTTATAATTTATCTACAGGTTTATACCGCTATATTCATACATACAGGCCATTATTGACGCCATCATCGCTATCGTTATGCCTATGTTAGATTTTAACATAGGATTATGGTTAAGTTTAAAATGTGTTACATTTTTGGATAGAAGCGTATTGAAAGGTTTTTCTAAGAGACGAAGGGTTGACATTTTAGATAGCTCTTCGATTAAGTGGATCGATTTTAAGATTTGCATAAATTCGCATAAATCTAAATAATAAAAAGATTCAATACTTGAAATTTAAGATATCTTAATGCATGCAGATATGGGAATTATTTATAACTGTATGTGACAGTAGATATGTAGTAGGTTGTATGACTTGTAAGTATTCGACAACGGAATCTTCTGCAGTTAAGGTAAGAATTGGATTATTGTAGGGTTGGGTACAGAGTTAGAGCTGATAGTAAAAAAATATTAGTTAATTCACTACCTGTAACATTTATCACTTAAAAAAAACCCACTATTGTGGCATTATGGGACACGGGTGTTTATAATCCATTTGTTTATAACGATGGTCCCATGGTGTGTTATGGTTTATGGGAGAACTGGTACTACCAGTTTTAGACAATGAACTTCCAGAAAACTGGTGCTTGTCAGCTGGTATTTATGTAACATTACGCTTGTGTTACGGTAATAAATAAGGGTTAGGGTCATTGTAGGTCTTGGATTAGCGTTTATGTTTGAAAATAATAATAGTGTTTAGTTTATAACAAATAACTTAACACCCCCTTTTTAAGAAGATTCCATTACTGACCTTACGCATAGCCCTAACTGTTAAGGCTGACAGTGTAGGCCTATATCCAGGGGCGTAGCGAGGGGGGGGGGGGGGGGGGCGGGGGTGCGGACCGCACCGGGTGACACCATTTAGGGGGGGTGACACAAGGCAAAAAATAGCAAAATATATAGAGAAAAACTCGAGGGGGGGTGCAAATCGAAAGTTTGAGGGGGGGTGCAAATCGAAAACTCGAGGGGGTGCAAATCGAAAGTTTGAGGGGGGGGGGGGGTGCAAATCGAAAACTCGAGGGGGGGGGGTGCAAATCGAAAACTCGAGGGGGGGGGGGTGCAAATCGAAAGTTTGAGGGGGGGGGGTGCAAATCGAAAACTTGAAAGTTTGTCCCTGGGAAGGGTCTCTATGCCTCTGGGGGGGGGGGGGGGGTGACACCATTAAGTGCCGCACCGGGTGACACCCGACCTCGCTACGCCACTGCCTATATCTACTGCTACAAGTCGATCTAAAATCCAAACTAAATAACACAGACCGATTGACAAGTTCACGAATCTAAATCACAAAATTCCCGTCAATATTTAAAAAAAAAAATATCAAACCCTCACAGTAGAATTATATCCTTCCAGTCAAGAAAATGAACGCGTTCCTAAAAGTTGCCCAACTTTACCAACTGCCCTAAAAAAAACAACCAACTCAATAGCAACGTTACTTTAGAAATCTACCTAAAAAACTATCACGTTTCCTATCTATAACCTTAAAATTTAACAGAATGACAGTGCACATTTTTTTTACAATTATTACAACTAACGAAAAGGTTTTCTTTCAATAATAAGTCTCCGTGCAAATTTCTCACCTCAGTACAATGTGTGTGTTGTGTGTAGGTGTGTGTGTTGTGTGTTCATTGTTATGAATCGTGTGTGAACATTGTTCACGATATTCGCGTGTCGCCTTTACCTGCCGTTCGGGTTCGTCCCGTTTCGCACGACAATACAACGATGACCTCACAAAAGTTGAAGGTTTCGAATGTTTAAAGAAAAGTGGGGAAAAAATTCATTCTATTCTGTCTTTTGGCTAGACATGAATATAGAACAACAGAGAGAGGCACATTGAGACGAAGTGGGGTTTACTGAATAAATTTCAAACAGCGTTCAAAACCTGTTTCGCTTTTACCTATTTGTTATCATTCAAAGAAATTATTTTTTTAGTTGATATTTTTTAAAAAACATTTAGATTGCCGTACTTAATTCTGTGCATTAAAAATGAAAGTAGATAAAGAATGAGATTCTGTTTGTGTTTAAATTAAGAAAACCAGGCATACGTGTGTTTATTACTTCATATGATTCAAAAGTACTTATTATGAAAAGATGAATACATTATTATAATACTTCAACATTGTAAAAGATAGTCATAGTCACGAAGTTATAGAGAGAAGCATGATAGCTCCATTCGACTACCGCGTGTAACTAAAGGCAACATTTGTTATATCAATCATGGAGCGTCATTTTTATTTGTAAGAGACAAACTACCGCAACAATTTTTAAAAACCTGAGCACCAATAAGAAATCTGACAGGAAATCTTTATTCCACCACCATTCAAGCAGTAATGAGAGGAAGGGACGAGAACCCATGTGTAAAACAAAAATTACTAACGGCGCGTGACACTACAAGTGGGTCAGTGTGACGTAACTTAAGCATTGTGACGCAACCATAACATTTTGACGTAACCATAGCATTGTGACGTAACAATAGCATTGTAGATCGACAAGAAACTTGATTGTCTAGGTAAAAAAAAAAATAAATATGGGATTGTTTTATTACGTTTGTTTTAACTAATTAAAATTAACAATTGCATTCTGTGCGATTTTTTAATTGCTGTTTCAACTAAAAATTAACAATCTCGTTCACGGTAATCGATCATGTTTAACTGTATGATGAATAATATAAAATGAGTTATTTTGACGCCGAACTGGAGACGTTTGTTATGAATTATGCTAGTTTTAAAATAGAAATAAAAACAGATAAACACGGAGTTAAGTAGTCCACATCATAATAGAACACATTGCGTCAATATTTAACAACGCAACGACCCAATCTAGCAAGCTAAAACAAATAAATGAAACATTTTAACCAGTTACAACAAGGCAGCGGTTAAATTTTAACGCGTTAAAAAAATTATTGTAAAAATTGACGAGTAAAATTTAGTGGCGAGTCTCACGATATCAGTGCATTCATGTACCAGGCCTAAGCTGTCCCACATACAGACGTTAAGCAGACGACAGGGCCGGGGCGTCACGTTACTGAGACCCCCTTTTCATCGGTGGACGCTGGCGGGAACCACGTGACCACTTCACCGTAGCTCACGTAACAATGAACCTGTGGACTGGACATTTTACTACCGTGTGTTTTCAGCCGGAAGCTCTACTTCTTAACACGGGTCATCTAGTGTAATAAAAAAATACAGGCCTATCGGAATAATAGGTAGTTAAACTTATTTTTAGAACAACTGTATAATCCGTTAACGGTTAGATTTTTTTTTAGAACAACCACTGTTTGGGTACCGAATCTGATTTTTTTTACCCGTGTTTCATTTTCATTATCTCTTCCCCGTGCGTGACTAGCGTGGTCAGCATTATGCCCAGCCGCCTTAGTTTCCCTAACGTTATTTGGTACCCATCAAAGAAGTTTGGAGCTTCGTGCTCGCAGTCATAAGTTCTACCCCCAACCACGTCTCTTCCCTAAACGTGTCTACCGTTATGAAATCAAGTACAGACGAGCAACCACTCCATTCGCCATAACGGAAGAAGACACAAAGATTAGACACCTAAGGATTATATAATATCCCAAATGGTCAATTCATCACTGGTTAATGTATCTTGGTATTTACGTATCAAGTGTTTAAGTGGTTTTGTGTTGATTTACCACACGCACTGGGGGCATTCGTTTTATTTCAAGGCCCGGGTTTTCAATACCGGGGTTACACAATACGAATACTGACCAGTGGTCATTAGCCGGAGGGGCGAACTTCAGCAGACAAAAGAAAGGCCTATTATGACACCGGAAATGTGAAAGTGGGGAGAGGGGGGGGGGGGTATAAACGGGCTCGGGTGTGATGCTGTAAAATGTTGACCAAGGGAGAGTTCCGATAAAGAAATGTTTGGTAGGAAATGTACAGAATTTACTGGCCATTACACTTAGGTCATTGTCTGCTTGATAAAAATGACCAACATACGCTGACCTTCACACGGAGTCATTGACTCCTGGTCAATAAGACTAAACAATGCTTTAGTAAATATTGATGAAATGGGTTCTAATGGGCAAGACAGTCGACTCAACTTTTATTCCTAATGGTGTATTTATGACTAGATTCTATTATACTCCGCGATTTCTTTGAAGCATGGAGTTCATTGAATCTTTTTCAACACAATACCAAGTGTACATGTATTTATCTAGAGTGTTGAATTCATTTCTTTTATGGAGATAGAACATTTTCACACATTTCCGCTAACAATGTGATTTTGAGGGTCGTTTATA